TCATTAACTGTTGGCCGGGCTGATGGTTTCCTCGGTCGCAGCACTGGGTTAAATAGCTTGAAAATGAGACCGGGTTAAGAGCTGTTTCCTGCAAGCCTCAGCTGCAAGCACATCTGGGGGAGAAGGCTCCAAACTGCCCCCCACGTGTTTGTTCATGGACTGGACTGATTGCCTTTCCTTCCTCTTCTCCCTTTCGCTCTCTCGCTCTCTTTTTTTTTTTGTCTCAATTTCTCTCTCTCCCACCAAAAACTTGCTGTCCTTTTCCTTCAGCTCCAGAAAGACAAGCTAAAAGCAAAGGGGTTGAGTAGGTCAGATGAAAAGGAGGACACAGGGAATACAAATTTGTCTATCTAAATGCATTCTGTACAGTATGGCCCTTCGCATTTGCATGTGATTGTAACCCCCATTCTAGTGTTTGGAGACTGCTGTCTGGGTCAAACCGAAGCACCCCGGGGGGCTTATATGCCACAGAGGTCTCCTTCTTCCCCAGACGGACTGCAGTTCAAGCACTTAGTGTGCATCTGATATCGCTTACCGTCTAGAGCTCAGCGATGCCTAGGTGAAATTCCCTCTGACACATAGTAAATGGAACAGCAGCGTATCCGAGCACTTGGGTGTGTTTGTGTTTGGCCTCGTGCATGTTTTGGCATTTGTGTGCGTTTCTCATATTAAACTACAGTAACTGCTTGGAAATACGATGCCCTGGAATTAGAAGCATAAATGACCAAACCCACCTGTAGCCACAGAAATGTCTCCATTTAAGAAGAAGATTGACTGTACTTTGCTTTCACATAATGGTAGCAAGAAAGTACTCAGGGAAAAGATTAAGTATTAAAACTTTATTTCCTTTATTTGTGTAATGGAAAATGATAAAAACGTACAGCTCAGCAACATCGTCTTGGCTAGAATAGGTCAGTGGTTTTTTTAATCAATAACAATCAAATAATATTTATAATATAACAATGTGTTCTGAGGAAAGCGAAATAAGAGATAAAGAGTGAAAATAAATTATCATAATAATAATAACGATAACAACAATGAACTTTAATAAACATTTCTTTGCTTGTATGTCGTATCCATAGTCCATTCAGAGGGAATCATGCCCAAGGGGGGTGTATTCCAGCATGTTAGGAGGGATAAACTTAGTGGTCTTGTCTCTCTGTCTTTGACTCATCATGTATGCAGAGAGTCAGAGCTAGTCCTTAACTAGAGAGTTTCTGAGGAGGCCGTTCTCAAAGGAACTGCCACAGTGAATCTGCAAAGACACATCCTCTCTTTCAGGACAGTACCAAAGTGACTTAGTAAAATGTAACGAAAAGCTAAAAGCAAAGACAGCTCTCTCTCCCTCTGCTCTGTCTGTGAGGGTCCTCAGTGTCTAGAAGGGAGAGGTGCTTTTTAAACGTGTGAACCGTCCTCTATACAAGTTGACGTGGTTGTTGATGAGATGAAACCTTCGTCGGCAGTGTCCAAGCAGGAACGAACCTGACACGAACCCCTTCGCGTCCCTCACCTGTGGAAGATTTCTTGACGGGAGGGGAGGGGGGTGTGTGGAGATTTTCAGTATGGAGGAGCAAACGCAAGGCCCCTGTGGAGGGGATGCGAGCGAGCGTGGGTCTTCAGTGAGGTTCGGCCCAGGCGGGAGAGCGGCTGGAATGGTGAGGGTGACTGAATGTGGGGTGAATGGGAGTTGGTGTGGGCAGCATGTGTCCGGAATGGCTGAACGGTGGCAGGTGGCCCATGTGTGACATGTGGCTTGCCAGAGCAGCGGCGCTGCCAAACGGAGAGGTCTTGTCCTGCATGCACTTGGAGAGCTCCTCGAAACCCTCGCCAGATCGTTTACTCTTCTTGGACTTGCTGGACATCTTTCGGTTGCGTGTTTGGATGCCCTCTTTTTTCATGGTCAGTGGCCTGTTGACCTATAAGAAAATAGATAGCGTAGGTTAATGATGAGCACAAAGGAAGTACGTTTTACAGAAGTATCGACACATTTTACATGCAAAAGTTAATTAAATGGACGTTTGAGAAAATTAACCAGGAAAACACAGCAACAGTAGATCAGGGGTGCATTTCCCAAAAGCATATTTAGTTGCTTTTGGGAAATGCACCCCAGAACAGTAGCCTATAGATTAGAATCTTTATATGACATTACAATAAAATCTGTCATTATCTATCATTTTATTATATTATATATTTTCACACATATAAAACAATTTTTGCGTTTCATATAGAAAAAAAGTACAACCTGTTTTTTATGTTAAGATAGCTTCTATCCATGGCACCGAAAATGTTCTGTAAAATTCATTGTATTACGCATTTATTAGATGTAGTATTTTACTCAAATTAAAGCCTACATCAAAGTGTATAATGTAGTCTTTTATGCTTTCAGGGTTGAATTTCAAACGAAAACTAGACATGGAAAAAAAGCAATTCAGCAGCTCAGCTGTCACGCAATTCTGTTTTTTTTTCTTTCCTCCTTTGTTTCGCTTGTTTCATTAAGGTGAAATGTATTTATTCGTCTGCTAAATAGATCGCAGCCAAGCTTAACATTAAAAAGGCTAGTTTCAGACAGTATAATTCCGAGTCTGTTTGCATGAAGTTGCTCGACAACTGTAAAAAGTCTAAATTGGCATATGCATTATATTAACGTGGCGGAAGCTTGTAATTATAAATTTAACTTTTTTAATCATATTGCTGTTCCCGCCGATTTTTTTACAGTAGCACGAGGCCTTCTGTGGCTTATTGTCTTATTTTTTAGATCTTTTTTTTTTTGTACCGAATCCAATCGTTGAATGGACTACATAACCTCAGTCCTGCATTTCTGTTTTCCACACTGTAATATCAATCAGGGGTTACATGGGCTTTGGGTTGAAAAAAATGCATTCATGATAACAATCTGATGGGGTGACGAATATTATGACTCACTTATGCTATGTGTGTTCTGCACCAGACAGCATTTCAAAACTATCCGCAAATAACATTAAAGCAAATGCGGCCTGGACATATGAAATCTCTTACCAGGGAGTCGCCTTGGGTTAATTGAATATAGCCTATTCTGTGCATTTAAACACGCTAAATTCAATTTTCCAATTTGCGCCTTGATTAGAAAAAACTGTGCCTGATGAAATTCGTTTTATTCTGACCTGTATCTAATAAGTTCTGCCATATTTGGGTAAATACATTAGACAGATCATTAATGTATAACGTTTCGATACAATGCTCGGCCTTGATGCCACGAATCAAACGCTTCAGTGGGCGTGGCGACTGCAAAGCCGGGTCATCAATCCTCTGTTCGCTTTTAGCCTATAACATTTGCAGTTTGTGTTCGTTAACGATTTGCATAATTTCTATTGAGCTTTTGTAAAAAAATAAAATAAATAAATAAATAAATTAAAAAAAAAGAGGATCTGAATTAAAAAAAAACCCGCTATGAATAAAATTAAAACGCAGACGACGACAAAAACACACATTCCGATACTTCAACTCAGTGCCAGTCGAGCATGACAAACAAGAGAGCAAAGAGTATAAATCCATTTATTTTCCAATCCCTGCCCCAGCCCCTTCACACATAGTGCTCTGATAATCGCTTTACAGTAGATGTCATTCGGGCCTGCCGGGGCCAGAGAAAATTCAGCCGGGTTTGTTGAAGACGGAAACACCCGGGAGCCTGGCTTCCTTATCGGGCCCGGGCAGATATCCGGATAGGAAACAACTGGATGGCCTTTGAACAGCGCTCTGAAAACACTTCAGCCCAAAATGCAAAAGCATGGGCCAGCACTCTGACTCCATGGAAAACCATGTGGCGTTTTTTTCACCATGAGAACATATAGAGAAAGACAGAAAGAAACTAAATGGGGAAAAAAAATCAAATGTTGGAAAAGCTATGTTACACCTACACTACTAAAAATAATAATGATCATCATAATTAGGAACTAAGGAGTCTTACAATTCATATTTTGATTCCTCTTTGAATATCTCGCTCTATTTGTAATTCAATACAAGGCTCATGGTTCTCCTGCTGAGTATGTAAGTGTGGAAATAAGATTCCCTCACTTGTATTTACACTCTGATGGTCACTTAGCCAAGTGAAAATTAAATTATGACGCATGGCTGATAGAAAAAGAGATCTCACTCAATTAAACTGCTTGTTGTGTCTCCAAAATGAATCTCTATATAATATTACATCATGTTTTGAAAGACTGCAAAAAAGGACTCAATAAAGAGACAGAGGTAGAGATATAGAGTTTCACCTGCTAAAGGATAAAATAAGATTATGTGAAAAGGAAAATGGAGCTATAGATTGTATTCTTTGAAAAGTCATCTGTTTTCATAGAATCCTGATGCTGAAAAAAACTGTCACCCGTCCCAGGTATTTTATTCCAACGAAATATGAATTTTAAAGCTGTCCATGAACCACAGAAAAACCGGAGATTAATAACCAAAGCATAATCAAGTTTGACTTTTCTCACATCTTAATGATTTCTCAAGTAAACAGCAAAATAATCTTAAAACTTTAGTTTTGCTTTTTATCAATCATCTCAATGCAAAAAGCCATTAAGATAAATCAAAATCAAACGAACAAAATCTGCTTTTAAACATCTCATCAAGATTAAACGAGATAATCATGCTGGCAGCGATTCTAAAATGGAGCCAGAATCATAAGCCAGCCACACAAAACAAAACCAATGGCATGTGGCTTTCTAAACACCCCCAGAAAATGAACAACTAGATCAAACTGCTAGATCTAAACAGATGCACTCAGACAATAGTGTGGCAACAGGTTTCTCTTAGTATGGAGTGGTGATAATTGTACCGGCATGGGCATTGGTATCAGTGACAGTATCAGAACTAGAAGCAATAATGATAGCAGGAACAATGGCAATAGTAGCAGTATTGTTACAGGCAGAGTAGGGGATCACCAGGGGGTGAGGGCGACAAACAATTCCAGGAAGATTATAGGGAAAATATAACTTTCCTGGAATTGTGCTCAGGCTTTCTGCTCAGTGCTCCTATTTAGCCCTCTTTCTCACGTGTGTGAGGAACTGAAAGAATTCTGTAGGGCTCATCGACTCACCAGTCTGCGCTTTGGCTTGATAAGGGGTCGGTTCTGGCCGTTCATCTTGTGGTACAGGCCGCACGCGTTGCAGAGGTAGTGGCCCGTTCCGTCCCGCCGCCACAGCGGGGTGGAGGTGGCTCCGCAGTTCACACATTCACGCCCCTCTGTGCAGAATTCAAGTGGAGGGAAAGCAAAGGGAAATTTATATAATTAAAAGGTTCACACTACATCTACAATACAGGAACACAGGGTCATGCAAAGGCACGGTCTGGACAAAGAAAAACAACTCCCAAGTTAATTAGACAATATCTAACATTACATCCACACTGGAATCTCTCATCTGAGCTGGATGTATTACATAATTGATATTGGAATTTGTGAATGTGCATGTGTTTGTGGTTGAAATAACATTTTTTACAAAGTGTGACTATAAGTGAAAAATGAGCAGTACAGTCTATTTTTGCAGCTACAACATTTTCAAGACAAGAAAAGTGTTTAAAATGTGAGTTCATTCTATGTTATACATCCCAATCCTGTTTATCAGCCAGCTGTCCCGGCTTGTTCTGTTCTCAGGTGTTAAATCACAGTAAAGCACCCTAACCTGCTGGAAAGGGCCATGCGCTTTAATTAATATGCTCTTCCTCCTCACTCCCCTGAGCACCTGTCTATTATTCACATTATAATGTGAGCTAGTCGCTGTCCCACCCTGACCAGAGAAAAGAATCCACCCGGATAATGGATGCTCTTTTGAAGTGTATGTGATGTGTTGTAATTCAGTCATTTTCATTCCATTTTCTGTTTAGGCTTGACATGGTTAGAAGTATCACTCGCAGTTTAAATGTACTGAAACTTGGTGCTGGGTGTGTTAGGTGAAAACGGGCCTGCAAATGGGGTGAGTAATTAAAGGTAACCCTAATTCGAAGTGTTTTGTTTTGTCTCAATCATGTTTGTGGTATTGATTTGATTGTTTGCATTGAATCTCTACAACTAAAGAATGGTCAAAAAAATGTACTATGAAGTTCAGAATGGTTCCATTCACCAATACACACTCGATCCTAACAACATTTTCAGCACAAGGCATTTTCCACATCCATAGGTTGGCTAAATAAATAAATGCATAAAAAGTTAAAACAATGATAAGGACATATTTTGTATTTCTGTGTTATTGAGTATGTTAATAATAAAAACACTATATTTACTATTCATTAATTTATGAAGCACCTTGTATTTACACATTGTTATTTCTATTGTCACATTCTATTGACATAAGTAGGCCAATATGTGTAATGTAACTGTGATGTAAAGTGTTACAAATAATAGTTCAAAATAAAGTTCGTTAGCAGTGCATCAGGCCGAGGTCGTGCATAAATAAGCAAACAAACAGCAGGGTCCTGTCGCCTGTGAAGGCCTGCCCCGCCGGGGTTTTGTTAGTATTGGGGTCGTGGAAGGTGGAGGCGGGAGTATGTCGTGATTTGTTCAGCTGAAGTTATACAGGATATGTCTGGAGCCAGCGCGTCGTGACTCCTCAACGTTTTAAGTGCAATAAGGGCTTAATTTAAAGCTAAATATGAGGCAACACGCAGCCCGCCAAATAAAATCATTCACCCAAATAGGCCTAACGAGCAGGAAATTTGGTTACATTTAATTATTTTAAAACATTACACAATATCCTACACATATCCTCGTTCTTTATAAATTTTACATTTCGACAACTGATGCTCTCTAAGCCAATGTGTCTCTAAATATGCCCATTTAGCCTAGGTAAGGCTACTCATCACTTCATGGTCGAGTCAGAGCTTAATGAAACTCACCTGAGCACGACCGTGTCTTGCTTTTACATTTAGGTGTAAAGCTTGAAGCGGATCCACTGAGGAGGGTACCAGGATGAAACAGACCCCCGCCGTACTCGTGTGGCGTGGGCAGAGAGTACGTTGGGTAGGTTGGGATGGGATGATGCGTGGACGGTGTTTGGGCGCTCATAGCCAGGCTTCCCCGAAGAGGACTACATCCCTCCATTTTCATCCCATCGGCGATGGACACGTGGTACTTGATGGACTCCTTTTCATCCATTCTTGCAGTGGTGGAGATCGGAGAAGAAGGACCGGGGTCCGGTGAGACGTCTTTCGGTGGGGTTGGGGGGAAATTGTAGAGGGGATGTGGACTGGAGTGGGCTGCGGATGTGAGGGAGGAGACGGGAGCGGTGCTGGAGCTGCTGCTGCACGCGTAGCCGGCGCTGGCGGGGTGCAGGCCAGGCTTGCTGAAGTGACTGACCGCCCAGGCGTTGTGGTGGGCAGCGGAGAGCGCTGCCTTCCCGCTGTCCAGCCAAGGAATACCGGGACTGTGTATGAGGTGTGGCCGGCAGACCTGACTTCCCGTGAGACGAGCTGAGAAATATAAGACAGAAACGAACATACAGTTCAATTCAAATTACCAGCGAAATGTCTGTTTTTGCCAAAACACCAGTTTGTTTCAAAGAACAAAATGTCTAATGTTCACTCTCACCTGTTGACTCCGTACTCGAACAATACAAACCTGACATTGAGATAAAACTTAAATCTTAAATATCAGTTATGCAACACACACAAAACCGCAGTTGACGATTCACCCTTTTAGTCCAGTGTTTGTTCAAACTGCACGCTAACACTTCAAATATATTTTCCTTAGTCTCGACGTGATTTTCTCAAAAAACGCACCTACTCCTAAGAACAGACGTAAAATCTCCTTAAAAAAGCAACAAACGACAACTTTTTTAACGAAGCCTTCTCACTACAGCCTGTTGTTCGCACAAATTACACGCTTGAACTAAGAAGTTCATCAGGAATTTTTCGTTTTGATTTGGCATCCGGGAAGTGCCTTGATCCCCCTCTCTCTCTCTCCCTGACACGAACTTCCCTTTCCTCATCAAGTCATTCGCTGGACATTTTCTTTTTCTTCTTATTCTTTACATTTCAACACGCATATCTTGGAGATATGGATCTCGGAGAGACAGTTCAAGAAATGCGATAGGCCTGATTTGTAACTGCCAGGTAGCTACATAGTCCTATGCATAATATCGTTTTGTGCAAAGCAATAGCAAAAACATTTACATTACCATATCTTTATTTAAGTATCGAGAAGTCTCAGCGATAAAACAGTCGTATTTAGGCCGCACTAGCCTAGGTTTCACTTCAAAGCCCGTGAAAGAAAAAGTCATCGAAATCTTTCGGTTTTACACGCACAAAACGGTTGTTCTAAAGATTTTACTAGCTTATATAACTGACCCAAAATGGGCATAAAATATGTCAGCAATGTCAGGTTTATTACACTTTTTTAAGCACATAAGTAGGCTATAAAACCAAAGAACCACGTAAACAAAATATCTCTTTCGCTATAAATATGGAGATTTTACATTAAGATTTTACATTAATGTTACACATTTAAATATGAATAAAAAATAATTTAGCAGTAACAGTAACAATGGGCCTACTATTTCAAACAGCGCCATAAATAAGGTCACATTTAGCACTTAGCCTGTTAAATAAATAAACAAACAAATAGTATTATGTAACTTATAAGACATTTTGTAGCATGACAAATGTAAAGTGTGGCTGAAATATGTCTAGGAAATTGCATAATGACATATGCATATAAGACAGATATTCTGTCATCAAAATATGATATGTAGCCTACTTCATGCGAGAGAAATTTGACGTAAAGAAGCATCTTACCGTGCGCTTGTCCGTATGATACTCTAGCCCGAGAATTGGGGTAGTACGGGTTCCCCTGCGAGTCCAAGTGATTCAAGAACACATCCACCTCGTCCGGGGGAAGAAGAGGTGCCATGGGCTCCATGTAATTGTGTGTAAGCCCGTGATGATGGGACTCTGGGTGCTGGCCGTTGAGTACCGCATGATGATGGGCCATCCATCGAGACTGATCGGCCGCAACCTCCATGTCTAAATCGTCCGCGCTTCGAAAATGTTTCGAAAAGTTTTCTAGATGCCTACTGAAAACCTTTTGTACACTAAGAGACCCAGGAACACCACTATGGTCCTTCAGATTACTAAAATATTTGTCGTGAGCGTACTGCTTCAGTTGGTGATGCCCTATTCAATTTTTCCACATGCCCTTATTTTTTTTGGAGAAATAGAGATCCTGCTTCTTTGCTCTCAACAATGCTCAGGAACACCTGGAAGGGAATAACAAACAGATGCATCTCAGTTTTTAACGTTTAATACATTGCAAGACCTAAGATCTAAAGATCTTTCTAAAATCGTATATATATATATATATATATATATACACACACACACACACACACACACACACCACACACACATATGTATATATGAACTTTATCGAAATATGGGTTGCAACCTGTAAAGTCGCTGCATTACATGCTCAACCGTACGCAGTTTCAAAGAACTATCGTAAAGTAGGCTACTCACTGCGCAAACTAGTATTTCAACACTCCAATCCTCTGTTTATTTTTCCCGTGTTATTCAAAGAATGTTAATCCTCAAGATGTCTGCTGACATTCGTAATTTGCCACCGGTTCAAATTGTCCACAGACCAATTGTTAAACTCTGCGGCTGTCCGAAGCGAAGTCTCTTTAATGAATCGTGCCTGTGTACTGTCGGAACTGGCGCCAGTAGATTCCATATCTTACGAACATGGGCGGGGTCACGGGCTGGCAGTGATCGCTCTGTTAACCAATAGCAGATCGCGCTGACTGCCATTGGCTCGGACATCATGCTCTCCGAACTGCCACGGCGACTATCGGCCTAGTGCTCCACATTCAGAGAGCTGAGAGACCCATCATTTAACGGAGCAATTTATTGAGATCGTTTTACCTTTCTTAGAGCTTCACGTTGATGATGTGTGATACTGTTGTCTTTTTACAAAAAGACTAAGAGCTCAGATTGACCTGAAATTTTGAATGTAAAGTTGGAGTCCTAGGCTAACTCCGCACAACGTCAGAAAAATATTTAAATTGTATTGTATTTTTTTAATCGAATAATAATATAATAACAGACACAGGTTAGACTAGGCCTATTTTTATTTTTACAGACAGTGCCAACCAGCAATTACTTTAATTTTCCATTGATAAATAAAAACATATATATTGCAATTATCATAAACTTTTGTTAAAAAAATATAAATGTGATTAGGACCTGTTGCCTGACCATTAACATTTGCTTAAAACAACAAAACCTGTATCAGTGAAGTGTCACATGCGATATATGCCTAATGCAAACAAACACAATTCCTAGCACCTCAGGCATTAATTGGGGAGGAGTATTTTATGGTCTCTAAATTGGGGGCTATTGTTCTTGCGCGTCTAATTGTTTTAAATTAGTTGTCACCACATTCTTCTTGTGAAAACACTGTCTTTGTATGCTGTTGCAAGCGATCAAACATCACTTTGCATATTAATAGCGGCCCGTCTCTCGGTGGTGCCGACAGGTCGCATGGGCAGGTCCAAATAGAGCCAATTGGTGGCCATTAGGGCAGCTTCGTTGATTCTTGCTTACAATTATCTCGTGGCAAAACAAGCAGCATGCTCGCCCACCGCGGGCAGAAAGACAGAACGTCGCCAATCAGCCAATTAAGCCTTTAGATAAACTGTGGATAGTCAGCTGAAAACCTCATTTGCATATAGAGTTTAATAAATTGTTTCAGCTTTCACCTCAACATAAAATTTACTTGTCTATCCTATTCAGCCAAAAAGGTTATCTTTCATGTGCCACACCTTTTAAATGTTTTTTTTTTTTTTTAATAACAAATTTCGTTCACCGGTTCAAATAGCCTAAACATTCATTGGACATAGAAAATCCTCTTGATGGTTTCTAAAGTGGATTTTACAATGTGCTCCTTTGGATCACTGCTTCTCACCTTTGGTAGCTCTGTGGCCTCTAACTGCTTGTAGCAACGCTTTGTGTATATTAATTATTCATTTAGCTTGTCTAGTTGGATCAATCAAAGAGAACACAAGATAGACTTGTCTACCAGGGAGCTCCAGCTCGTGCATCACTATCTTTCGATAAACATTTGTGTCATTTCAGGTCTACACCACGAACCAGTTTTACAGATAAGAATTTGCGTTTTTAACTCATTTTGTACATTTTAACCTGTCCTTCGAAATAGTTGTGGTGTGTCTATCTGATAATATGTATTTGATAATATGTATTTTATTATTATTATTACTTAAAGCAGGAGTTTTAGTTTGCTTGCTCTCCTCTGAAGCAATAATGATTGACAGGCAATAATTGAAGCGCGAGCTTAGAGCCCCTACCGGCCGCCACTCTGACGCCGTGACTTGACGTCACAGTATCTCGGTAAAGGAGGAGAAAATATATATATGGGCTACAAAGACTTTTCCAAAGCTATTTAAAACTAGAATATAGGCATTGTGTGTTTTCATTTGCATCTAAACAAAAAATAATCTGTGAGAGTTTTAGTCCAGCTGGAGAGTAAATAATCGATTTGGGCACCAATGCAACACTGAGCACTTCTTAAACCACAGAATTTCTGTCAGTCTTGGTTGTATAAGGATGTTTAAACAGGCTATGTGGCCTTATTGTGACAATACCAGATGCTTAAATCCCTTTTTAACACACTGGATTCTGGCCAGGGGCATCATTCTCCGTGGGGTTAAAAGAGGGCAGGAGGGGGCAGAGAGCGGCGCAGACGGGTTTGTGAAGATAAGCAGGCACTGGGATATAGGGGGAATGACACAGACCAGCTGAAGCGGTATTGTCCTTTACTCACGGGTAATTAGATTGTGACAGGGCACTCGGGGGCAGGCACAGGCAAAGTCACAAGCCTCCTGTCCTCTGCTGAAGCGTGGATAACGGATTGAAAGCAAAGCGTCTCACCCTCTCTTCATTTATCCAACAATCCACGTTATTTTGAAGCAAAGTCTCATATTTGTGCAGTATTAAACCATGCCACTAGCTGCGTTTATTCTAACGTGCCGCTTTTTTGTCTTGTGCGACTTTATGGGTAAAGTTCTTCTTCTGAGTGACAGCGTTAGTTTAGTCGGAAAACGATCCTGTGGTAGTCATAAATCTGAAGGGTGATGACAGCGCGCCCGCCCTCCTTTTGTGGTCGACAGCTCTTGGAGTCAATGATTTGAATAAACAGCACAGGTGGGCTAATACAAGCGTCCTTGGGGCATTCCAGTGAAAGCTAATTCCTCAACTTACACACACAGCACATTTGCTTTCACATTTAGAATCATTCAAGAGGGGGAAAAACATCGTCGTTATGCTCATTTGAAATTTTGGCAGAAAATGACTTCAGACGGTTTTCGTAACATGCGTTCTTGCCATTGTCGCATATCAAACTCGTGTCCTCACAATCATAATTGTGTGTGTGTGTGTGTGTGTGTGTGTTATTCGTTTCATGAATAAAAATGTCTTGTATTATAGGGTGGCTATATGCGGTGTAAATTAGTGGAATTGCATGTTGGGTTGTTTGGTTTGTATATTTTGGATTTTATTTTAACATGTTTGCAAATATAAACATGGGCATTGTTAAGTATGTTCCTTATAAATTAAAAATGAGTAAATAATTCAACAAATATCATAATATTATATTAATATTTTTAGCACGTGAAAAATATGAAGAGGAATTTCTGCATGTAAAACGTGTAACAATCTTTGTCGTTTTAGTCTTTTCTATTATAGCCTAAAATGCCTGCAGTCGTACAAACGCAAATAACGGATTTAGTTACATATTATGGCCTAATAACAACAATATGTATTTATTGTATTTAATATATTATTATTATGATTATTATTATTATTATTCAACCATGCAAAATATATAATTCATTTTATTGTCTTTTTGTTTTATTATAAACCATTTAAAACTGCAATCACACTAAAATCATTCAATCAGCCCCTGCAACATAATTAGCCAATGTTGGACTTACAGTTCTCTTTTTAAATTCCTCACTAAAACGCGTGAATAATCTCTTCGTATTACTCGACTTCACGCTCGCTGTGTCGAATGATAGTCTACGCAAAACGCATCTTACCAGTGTTTATGATTAGGCTCTCTCCTCTTGACTTTTCGCAGAGAAATGTGTCCTGGGGGCAATTCCGTGTGGCACCGTCTTTGAGGGAAGAGTAGCGGTGATTCGTTGTGCTTTGCCAAGCGCTGAGGCTCCGGGCACTGTCTTCTCTAGCTGGCGATGCCAACCTTTCCAGACAGTCAAGCGGCTTTCCAGAATGCTTTTCTCTCTCTCTCTCTCTCGCTGGAAACAGCGAAACTTGAGGCACAAAGTAGGACCGCTGCAACGTAGCCGTGCGTCAGCCAATCTGGTCTTCCGGGTAATGCTTTGATGGTTAAAAGCTGTGCTGAAGCTGTTTTGTGTGGTGTTCTCACTCGTATAATTATGAAACAAGACCCAGTCGCTGAAGGCTTTGCGCATAGCTCTTAGATTTTGACCTTCACATAGGCAAACGATGCAGAGAGGGTTTGCACCTCAGATTGTCACTCTTATTATGTTTGGCAGGCTCCATTCTGGATTTTTTTTTTTTTTTATATATTCGGAAGGTATATTTTAAAGATTGTAGGAATGAATATGAAAGCTAAACCCGCCATAAATAGTATAGTAGACCGATACTGGAGCGTGCATGCTTTGCACATTAGGTATTGTCGTTCTCATTTAATCACTGCGATGGTGCAGATGTGTTTGCTTGAGTGTTGTGAATATGTAAATCTTCACTTTTAATATGAGACGCCTTTAGGCTTCCCATCATAATGAATTCTATTCCTCTTTGCGCTTGTCTATAATATGTTGCCGCGTTGCGGTCGACCTTGCCTTCCCCCAACCCAGCCAGTTTTAACTCTCTCACACATAACACCAACTTTTAAAACATGCAAAGCCTTGGTAAATCTCCGGCACGAGACCGTGGGCTCGCGTGCAGAGGCTCAGGCAGGGCAGGTGCAGCTCCAGCCTCTCGCGCCCGGGTTCCCCCAAGAGTGCATGCGTACAATGAGTGCGCGAGAGGAATGAACTCTGACAGAATTAATTGCATTATATAGAATGATCAAAATAACAATGTCCAATGCCAGCTATTGTTTTGTGTACGTTCAAGAGACCACGAGCGGTGAAGGATTCAGATCAGTCAAATCAGAAACTACTCCTTTTGGCTGCTACCATGATGGTGAAATAGCGGGCCTATAGGACTAGCCTATGATAAAATCAAAATTCTACGAAATCCTTGGCTTTCCTTTTGTCTTGCACTTATCAGTAAGGATGGAATGACAGATTTAAAAAAGACAATGTGGCTACTCATTGACTGAGTTTCCGGCAAGTGCAACGTGGACAAGAGGAAGAATGTTTATCGGTTGCTATTTGAGTGCTTTTATCAGTCCTACCACTTTGTGAGGATAATGTCATGACATGAGTGGGCATGTCTTTTCATAGCCAACTTAATCATATATTATTACAAGTACGACAAAAGAATATTCCTCTCATAGCCTACATCTTGTTTCTTACATGTCTAGTTGCTGCAGCGAATCACATAATTTTGGAAGAAACATCTCTAAATGCTCTAACGTGTAATAACCTAAGTTTAATT